TAAGAGTTGGGCTGGAAGTGGTCTTGGCCGTGGAAAACGTGAAAGTGGTCAAAGAGGTGGAGACAGTCGGCAAGTTGTCATGACTGCCAGTTTTGACGCCGTCTCGAAGTACCACTTGGGCCGAGGACAACAGTTCAGCGTCAGCTTGACTACCATCAGCATTTCTAAATGCTGGGCCAAGGGTACGATCGATGTCTCGTGGTTCCGTGACCGAAGAGTTGGCACCAGAGGGTCGGGTAGAGGAGGCCAGGTTCAGGTTGCTGCTGCCTTCGCTGGAGCTTGCAAATTGGCTGGTTCTACTCAGTAAACTGCTCGTCACAGAAGACCTGTTGCCTAGAGGAGTTGAGTTGGTCTGAGAGAGCCGAGTGGATGTATTGCCGGAGCCGGTGTTCAACTGCCAGACGGGCGCCAGTTGGTTTTGCTCTCGCATGGCTTCTTCAATAGGAAGGAGGCCTCCAAAAGGTCTAGCGGGAAGCATATCTGGGGCTGAAGGGAATGGAGAAAAAGGGGACAAGATGACAAACAAAGAGCAGCCGGCTTCGATGAATATTGTCAGGTAGCATTGCTTTAGAGAATTTCATTTTGCAAGAAAGAGCATTATGAAGAGATCCAGCCGGAAGATGACGGCTGATTCCTGTTGCTATGCAACTGTTTGGCTATAAGACAACAAGCAACGAGACATCATTTGTCGTTTTGGATAAAAAAGGCGCCGAGCTTTCATACATCATACCAATAGAGCCTAATTTTGCAAAAGATTCAGGCTAACAGTAATTCAAGTATGCTATATATATATACTCAGATATATAGTTATAGAATTATTTAGTTAGTCCACTTTTATATTAACCAGAGTGCTACTATTCATCATGTATATGAATTTTTGCAAGCTGGTCGCTTAAAGCTTAGAAGGCTATTAAAATAATACCGCTATCTGGTCTTATATATATATATAAATATAAATAAATAAATAAATAATTATATATAAAGAGAGACAGAGACTGCTGAAAAACAATACCATACAACCTGTCCGCCATTCTTTGCAATTTAGATTAATCTTTCAAGCTTAGAGTGTTCGCCAATGATTTGCCTAACCTAGTTTTCCTCCTTATCGAGGTAAGTAATTTTATGTTTTATTTGGGATATATATATATATAAATTAAATAAATTAATAAATTAATAAGTAAATAAATAAATAAATAAATAAAAATATATATATATATAAAGAGAGAGAGAGACTGCTGAAAAACAATACCATACAACCTGTCCGCCATTCTTTGTAATTTAGATTAATCTTTCGAGCTTAGAGTGTTCGCCAATGATTTGCGTAACCTCGTTTTCCTTCTTATCAAGGAAACTAATTTTATGTTTTATTTGGGAT